TATCCTTTAATATATATATAATGCTTTAAGTAAATTCATCTTAAATGATTATTTTGTTCATTCAGATAGAATTCCAATTTGTTTTATCTATAAACAATTTTTTTGAAGTTCTTAATGTTACTCTCAATGCCAGTGAATCAAAGCAATTCACTCTATACAACAGACTTCTGGCTGGAGCAGCTGTAAATAAACCTCAGCTCTAATTCATGCCAATCTAGTCCTCATCACTTAGTAAAGCAAGACAATAATCTTACCATTGTCTAGAAGTTCCACATATTAAAGAAGACTACATTTACGAATCTATCTCCTAGAAATCTTCCAGCAATAGTGCATTAAAAAAAAAACTTTCATGTGGATTTTCATTTCACCTTTATTGCTATTCCCATCTTCCATATGAATTCCACAAGAATATACAACCTTCAAATACTATTCCTAGTTAATCTTAGGGAATTCATGAGTTGCTTTCCCAAAAGCCTTTCATGCACATATTTCTACTTTATTATACCTCCGGTGGAGATAGGGATACCACAGCCTTCAAGACGCCTCCTTTCTAGCATCCTCTAGGAACACTGGACGGGTAAACAGCGCCAGGAAGAGAGGGGAGGAAAGGAGCAAGAGCTCAAGAAATCTCAGAGAGAGGCCGAAATATAAAGGGTGCCAGACATCCTCGCAATCCTTGCTCCAGACCGGTACCCACCGCGGTAAGAGGCTGAAAGATCTCCCGCACCGAATCTGCAATCCTGCTTGTAGCCCACAGATACCATCTTCTGGTAAAGCCGAGCGAGGATGCTGCAGCTCCCAGCCCCACAGGCATCTGGGTCCGAGGCTGAGACACACTGGGCTCTCGCTGCCAGGACCAGCTCGGTGGCCAAGAGCCCAGAGCCACCCCAGAAAAAGGGACAAGTACACACCCTATCCGATCGCGCCCAAACCCATCTCCCTTTGTTGTTCATCCTCTACTTGCGGCTTTATTTGTGCACCGGGCCGGTGGGGAAGGGAACAGGAGTGGGGGAGGCGGGAGGCTGAATCTCCAGGACCTCATTTACGGGCTACACAGTGGTGGCAGGGTCTCGGGAGCGATCGAGGCGTCCGACTGCCTCGTGTCTCCAGAGCGGCGGTCTAACAATAAACAGCCCAATAGCGTCCTGGGGGAACCCCACTGGCACCTCTCTCGCCACATTAAGGCTTTGTGCCAATGAGCAGACAACGTAGACTATCGATCAGAAACGGCTGTTATCAGAGTGCGCGGTTTGGCTTGCAGCCTGGCCTTTGAGGCGCGGTGGCGGCGCTGGGACACGCGCCCGGCGCCCGGCGAAGGACCTGGGACAATGGCCCAGCCCG